CCGGGCATGCCGCCGGACAGGGACATTGATTTTGGTATTGATCTGGTGCCGGGCACTCAACCCATTTCTATCCCTCCGTATCGCATGGCACCAGCGGAGTTGAAGGAATTAAAGGATCAGCTTCAGGAGCTCCTAGATAAGGGGTTCATTCGTCCGAGTGTGTCACCGTGGGGTGCTCCGGTCTTATTTGTGAAAAAAAAGGATGGCACAATGAGAATGTGCATTGACTACAGGCAATTGAACAAGGTGACAGTGAAGAACAAGTATCCCCTGCCCCGTATTGATGATTTGTTTGACCAGCTTCAGGGGGCAAAGGTATTCTCCAAGATTGACCTCCGTTCAGGCTATTACCAGCTGAAGATTAGGGATTCAGATATTATGAAGACTGCTTTCCGGACGAGATATGGGAACTATGAGTTTCTGGTTATGTCCTTTGGGTTGACTAATGCCCCAGCAGCATTCATGCACTTGATGAACAATGTATTCCGGCCGTATCTGGATTCATTTGTGATTGTTTTTATTGATGACATCCTGGTGTACTCGCGTAGCCAGGAGGAGCACGCACAACATTTGAGAGTGGTATTATAGAGATTGAGGGAGGAGAAGCTTTATGCAAAGTTCTCCAAGTGTGAGTTCTGGCTTGGTTCTGTGGCTTTCCTGGGGCACGTGGTGTCCAGTGATGGTATTCAGGTTGATCTGAAGAAGATAGAGGCGATGTAGAGTTTGCCTAGACCGTCCTCAGTCACGGAGATTCGGAGTTTCCTCGGTTTGGCGGGTTATTATCGCCAGTTCGTTCAAGGTTTTTCATCTATTACTTCGCCCTTGACCAAGTTGACGCAGAAGAGTGCACCATTTGTATGGTCGGACGAGTGCGAGGAGAGCTTTCAAAAGCTCAAGACAGCTTTGACCACAGCTCCAGTATTGGTATTGCCATCAGCTTCAGGTTCTTACACAGTGTATTGTGATGCCTTGAGAGTTAGGATCGGATGTGCGTTGATGCAGGATGGTAGAGTTATTGCATATGCTTCTAGCCAGTTGAAGCCCCATGAGAAGAATTACCCTGTACATGACTTAGAGTTGGCTGCTATAGTTCATGCTTTGAAGATTTGGAGGCACTACTTATACGGAGTATCTTGTGAGGTATTCACGGATCACCGCAGTCTCCAGCATTTGTTCAAGCAGAAGGATCTTAATTTGAGGCAGCGGAGATGGCTTGAGTTACTCAAGGACTATGATATTACCATTCTATATCATCCGGGGAAGGCCAATGTAGTGGCCGATGCCTTGAGCCGGAAGGCGGTTAGTATGGGTAGTTTGGTGTACATTCCAGTTGGGGAGAGGCCCTTTGCAGTTGATGTCCAGGCTTTGGCCAATCGGATGGTGAGATTAGACATTTTGGAGCCTAGTCGGGTGTTGGCTTGTGTGGTTTCTCGGTCTTCCTTGTATGACCGCATTAGAGAGCATCAGTATGATGATCCGCATTTGCTTGTCCTTAAGGATAGGGTCCAGCATGATGATGCCAGAGATGTGACTATTGATGATGATGGCGTGTTGAGGATGCAGGGCCGGATTTGCGTGCCCAATATGGATGGGCTTCGGGAGTTGATATTAGAGGAGGCCCACAGCTCGCGGTATTCCATTCATCCGGGTGCCGCGAAGATGTATCAGGATTTGAGGCAGCACTACTGGTGGAGGAGAATGAAGAAAGATATTGTGAGTTATGTAGCTCGGTGTCTCAACTGTCAGCAGGTCAAATATGAGCATCAGAGGCCCGGTGGTGTACTTCAGCGGATGGATATTCCGGAGTGGAAATGGGAGAGGATTACTATGGATTTTGTGAGTGGTCTCCCTCGTACCTCGAGGAAGTTTGATTCGATTTGGGTGATTGTGGATCGGCTGACCAAGTCCGCGCACTTCATTCCGGTGTGTACTACCTATTCTTCGGAGCGGCTGGCAGGGATTTTCATCCGGGAGATTGTTCGGTTGCATGGGGTCCCAGTTTCTATTATCTCAGATAGGGGTACTTAGTTTACTTCCCAGTTTTGGAGGACTTTTCAGCGGGAGTTGGGTACACAGGTGGAGTTGAGCACAACATTTCATCCACAGACGGACGGGCAGTCCGAGCATACTATTCAGATATTGGAGGACATGTTGCGTGCCTGTGTTATTGATTTTGGAGGTTCTTGGGCTGAGTTCTTGCCACTTGCAGAGTTTGCTTACAACAACAGCTATCAATCCAGTATCCAGATGGCGCCGTATGAGGCCTTATATGGGAGACGGTGTAGATCTCCAGTTGGTTGGTTTGAGCCCGGCGAGGCTAGACTATTGGGGACAGAGTTGGTCCAGGATGCCTTAGAGAAGGTGAAAGTGATCCAGGAGAGACTTCGCACAGCTCAGTCGCGTCAGAAGAGTTATGCGGACCGGAAGGTTCGAGATGTATCTTATATGGTGGGCGAGAAGGTCTTGTTGAAGGTTTCGCCCATGAAGAGCGTTATGAGGTTTGGAAAGAAAAGGAAGCTGAGTCCGCGGTTCATTGGGCCTTTTGAGGTACTTAGGAGGATTAGGGAGGTAGTCGATATGCTTGCTTTGCCACCCAGCTTGTCGGGGGTTCGCCCGGTATTCCATGTTTCTATGCTCCGGAAATATGTTGGGGACCCGTCTCATGTGTTAGACTTCAGCACGGTTCAGTTGGATGATGATTTGACCTATGATGTGGAGCCAGTGGCTATTTTGGGTCGTCAGGTTCGGAAATTAAGATCAAAGGATATAGCTTCGGTGAAGGAGCAGTGGAGAGGTCGGCCCATGGAGGAGGCTACCTGGGAGACCGAGCAGGAGATGCGGAGCAGATATCCTCACCTATTGAGGCTTTAGGTATGTTTCTTGACCCGCTCGAGGACGAGAGTTTGTTTAAGTTGGGGAGGATGTGACGACCCGGCCCGTCGTCCCATGTGTTACCGCCCCGTTTTCCCCATTTATTGCTTCTTCATGTTTCGTTATCGGCATTTGATGAGTTAGAGTTGAATTGGTTTGGTTTTGGTAGGAAATGAGACACTTAGTCTCTTTAAGGAAGGCTTATATTAGAAAAGTCAACCGGATGTTGACTAATGAGTTTGAGGGCTCGGATGTGATTTCCGGTGATTCGGTTAGCTTCGGGGGATGATTTGTGACTTAGGAATGCGATCGGAATCGATTTTGGAGGTCCGGTGTAGAATTAGGCTTGAATTGGCGAAGTTAGTATTTTGGCGAATTCCGGTTGGTAGGTGAGATTTTGATCCGAGGCTCGGAATGGAATTCCGAGAGTTGCAGTAGCTTCGTTAGCTGATTTTGGATATGTGTGCAAAATTTCAGATGATTCGGAGGTGTTTTGGTTGGGTTTTTGATCGAATGTGAGTTTCGAAAGAATTTGAAGAACTTAGGCTTGAAATTGATGAGAAATTAGGATTTTTGTGTTGTTGGATGTGTTTTAAGATTGGAACAAGTTTGAATAGGGTATTGGATCATGTCTGTGCTTTTGGTTGAGGTCCCGGGGGCCTCGGGGTGAGTTCGGATGGTTAAACGGGAGTTTTGGGAGTTTGCATATAGCTGAAGATTTGCTGCATCTGGTATTCTCGCTTCTGCGGGTGTTGGACCGCAGAAGCGGAGGCACTTAAGCGGGGGAGTCATCGCAGAATCGGTCCATGGGTTGGTAAGGTAGATCCGCAGAAATTATAATAAGTCCTTCTTACTTTTAAAATCCAATCAAACACCGTCACATTTCTATTTTAAAAGGCTTTTTTGGAACTCGCCACAGGGCGGGACACTATCAAAATGCCCTGACACTTACACGCAGGGCATAGTTTCACGAGGCTTATGTCCCAAGCGCCCGTTAGTGTGCGTTGAACACGCCTAACGCTTAAGGCTCGGGACTTGCCCCACAGTTAGAGCTGTCAAAACAGGCTAGCCCAGCCCAACTCAGCCCAAGTCTCGTGGGCTTTTAAATTTGGTGGGCTTGGGCGCGCCGGCCATCCATCTATATGGGCCTTAAAATGGCCAGCCCAACCCAACCCTAAGAGGGTCGCGGGCTAGGGCGGGGCGGCCCTTCAATTTTTTTAGAAAAAAATATTCCTCCAAATCTTTAGATATTTTTTTATGATATAATCTCTTGATCATCTGAATGACTTCTGTTTATTTAGAGTGTACAAGACTCTTGATATTTGACAAGTAAACTCGGAATTGAAATTTAAATCTCTATATCTCTAGCTTCTTTTTTTAATTTTTATGTTACATGAATATTTTTTAGTACTTTTCTTTCACTTTCCTTAGGTTCAGGAATTGCTTAAATAAGTTTATATATTAAGGTTTTTTAATTAAGGTTTAATATTATTTGTCGATTTCATCATTATAGTCCATAAAATTTTTTAAATTCATGAAATTTGCTAGTATTGTCACATTTCTTTGGCATACTACATGCATATCAAAAATACAAATTCTAGTTGATTTGGAAGGGTAAATGAGCAATCTAAGGTTAGAAAATGGGGACTATAGTTAATATATATTTAGTTTTTTTTTTTTTTAAATATTTAAATTTGAATATAATTAATTTTTGGTCCACGGAGCGGCCCAGGCTCAGCCTCGGTCAAGCCTCAAGGGCCAGCAGGCTGACTTTAGCCGGGCTTATAAGCCTCAGTTTTAAATGAGCTTAGAAAATCCCAACCCAGCCCTACCCAAGTAGCGGGCTGGGTTGGGCTGGCCTCACGGGCCAAGCCCATTTTGACGGCTCTACCCACTACTAAAAATCAGACCTATGGCAACGCTTTTCTTGCAACGGATTTATAACCGTTGCCATAGCATGTTAATTGCAACGGTTAGAACCGTTGCATAAGAATATTGACTCAATTCGAACACTTTCAATACTAAACCGTGGCAATAGAGGAATAACCGTTCCTGTAGATCTATATATTGGAACGATTATTATAACCATACCAATAGGTTCTCTTATGGCGACGGTTTGATGATAAAATATATCTACTGCAACGGTTTTCAATAAAAACATATTCCAATTGGCTTTCACTATTTTCTTTTTACTTTTTTATATCCCCTCTCTTATTTTTATTCTCTTTTAATTTTCTTTACCTTTCCATTTTCTTACCCTAATTGAGAGAAAAACCCTCAAAAAAATTCCACCACTATATATCGACATCCCTGTTGCCGACAGTAACACTGTTGTAGTTCATTCCATGGCTCCTTTTTTGTTTAATTGCAAAGAATCCAGATATCGGTGAGTATCCTTGTTCTTTGATTTTTTTGTTTATATAAATAAGTATTAGTTTTTCCTACTCCAAACAAAAGGGATGATTCCAGATATAAAATGCCATTTTTTCTCTAAAAAATAAACCAAAAGCAAAACCAAGAAAAACGTCACAGACACATAGATCTACGGAGATAGAGCCCTAAAATTTTTTAGGTTATCTCTATTCTCTAAACAGTGATTCCGGCAAATCGTCTTGGCAGCATCACTGACATCGTCGTCATTTGCGGAAGATTCATAATTTCGTATATTAGGAGTTTGATTATCCTGATATCGGTTAGAATCTAATATCTCATTCGTCTCTTACAATTTTTTTCTTAATAATGACCAGCCTTTAAAATCCCTAATTTTAGGATTTTTTTTAGATTATTTATTTATGTGTATAAGTGAATAGATAGGGAAAAGTATGTTAGTTTACTGTATTTGTAAAATAATTCTGAAAATATAAATGAACATAAACAGAAATGAACAACGAAATAATAGAAAACCAATTCGAGCCCACTGAATTCACAGTGTTTCCTTAAGGAATTTAATCCCCTCCTAGTACCCAAGGTTATGGATTATTTCCTCCCAGGATAGAACGAATTACACACTGGTGTAGTGGTACTTCAAACCCCAGTGTTTCAGCGAACACAAAGTTCGGTAGCAAATCACACTTACTTTTGCTTTGTTTGATGCTAAAAGTATGCAGAAGAAAAAGAGAAAACTCATAAAATCGTAGTGAAATTCTGAGTAGAATAGTGTTGTATTTATAGCCAAAGTTGGGCTGAAATCTGAAGAGGTGCAACTCTTCAGAATGGCTGTTTATGCAAAAACGGCCACAACATAAATGCCATTACATAAATGGCCATTTACTCAACAATAAAGAGGGAAAATAAAGAGGGAAAATTGAAGAGGGTAGTTACTTTTCTGTTACCAAAACAGAAAAACGGATTGGATTTAATATTAATATTCTGTTATTAAAATAAATATTTAATAACATTTCTGTTAATATTTTACTATTAACAAATAAATTTGGTCCAAAAAGTTAATCAATCAATCGATCATTTGACCAAATCTAAATCCGAATCCGAATCCGAATTCGAAGCCGAAGCCGAAGCCGAAGCCGAAGCCGAATTCGAAGCCGAAGCCGAGCGAGTGACGATGACGACGACGCGAGGCTTGCCTTCTTCTCAACTCTTTAAGAGCTAGAAGAAGAGTAATTGCTTATATACCCATAAAAACCTCTTCCTCTTCCAATATGGGACAATGTTCATTTGCCAAGGGGGGAAACTTAAAATTTCATTTCCCTCCATTTCCCATTCACCCTCTTTTATGTATTTAATATAATAAATACAAAAACCCCAACAATCCCCCACATGAATGGGGAATGGCTATATCATAAAAGTATGCATGAAAAATTGTGTGATTCGCAAGTAAGGATTAATTGCATCTGGATAAGTAGGTTCCCTTTGAGCTTTCCGTAGTGAACTTATGTCGGATATACTCGATCAATTGGTAGATTTGATATCTTTGAACCGTCGAACTTTGGTGTATACCTAGACAACCACAAGTCACACAACCAACCCTTAACCGTCTTTGGTTCTCATTGTTGTGTTCGTTTCAGCCATGAACACCGCCTGGTTTCATAAGTGCGTAGAGAACTGGCCTTACGAAGTTCTCCTTGAAGCGGCTAACACTTCACACTTACATAGGTGATTCCTAAACGTGTCATCCCGTAGATACACTATTTGATATACCCCGTATCAAATTTAGAAATCATTAAAAAGCCTTAATGCTTTATCCTTGATACTGAACATTGTCTCATCACGAGAATGGACCAAAAGTTTATTTGACAATGTTGAACCGTCATTAATGACTTTGTTTGATCTCCTTGAACCTAGATCTTGGGATCTCCAGTCTTCTAGGTAGAGTTACCGCCACTATGACTTGTTCTCGGCCACAGTCCCATTCCCCTTGATGATTTCTCAACTACCTCCCTAGTTAGACCTTTTGTAAGTGGATCTGACACATTATCACTTGACTTTACATAGTCAATCGTGATAATTCCTCTAGAGAGTAATTGTCTAACGGTTTTATGTCTTCGTTGTATATGACGAGATTTACCGTTATACATAACGCTCCCAGCCCTTCCAATTGCTGCTTGACTATCACAATGTATGCATATTGGTGCCAACGGTTTGGGCCAAAATGGAATATCTTCCAAGAAATTCCGGAGCCATTCAGCTTCTTCACCGGCTTTATCCAAGGCTATGAACTCAGCCTCCATTGTAGAGCGGGCAATATAAGTTTGTTTGGACGAATTCCAAGATACCGCTCTCCACCAATAGTGAATACATATCCACTTGTGGACTTGGAATCAGTTGATCCGGTGATCCAATTTGCATCACAGTATCCCTCAATGACCACATGATATTTACTGTAGTGCAAAGCAAAGTCCTGGGTATGTACTAAATACCCCAAAACTCGTTTCATGGCCATCCAATGAGATTGACCTGGATTGCTCGTATATCGACTCAATTTACTTATAGCACAAGCTATATCTGGTCGTGTACAATTCATGATGTACATTAGCAACCCAACACACGAGCATAATCCAATTGTGATATGCTTTGGCCTTTGTTCTTTGCTAATGCAAGATTCACGTCAATTGGAGTCTTTGCAACTTTAAAGCCCAAGTGCTTGAATTTTTCAAGTACTGTCTTAATATAATGAGATTGTGACAATACTAGACCTTGAGNTAGGGATAGGAGGTAACCAAAATTAGATATTTTGCTATAAACATTAAAAGGTATCTAAATATAATTATTTTAAATGGTATTTATTTAAAATAAATAAGATGTTAACATCTGTTATAGGAGGTAACAATTCCTGTTTATATTAATTTATAATTAAATGATGAGCTAGATTTAAGGTTAAATCTATATCTATATCTATATATATATATATATATATATATATATATATATATATATATATATAAATATAAAGTAGGGACATAAGCCTGCCTACCTGTCACCTCTCATTGCCTAAGAATCTCAATTATCTCTATTCTCTTTTTTTTTTCTTTAGATTTTTCCTTTTAAGTGCTCTATCAAAAATTCTAAAGTTTCCTTTTATAATAATAATTCTAATAATTGTGGCTCTTCCTATATATAATTACTTTCACATGTCGCTTCACTTCCTCTTCCGTTACAACACCTCCTTCAACCATTTCTTCCTCTTCTTCCGCCAGTTAAATACCCATCTCTCCCTTCGTTCTCTCCGTCGGCCNCATCCAATGAGATTGACCTGGATTGCTCGTATATCGACTCAATTTACTTATAGCACAAGCTATATCTGGTCGTGTACAATTCATGATGTACATTAGCAACCCAACACACGAGCATAATCCAATTGTGATATGCTTTGGCCTTTGTTCTTTGCTAATGCAAGATTCACATCAATTGGAGTCTTTGCAACTTTAAAGCCCAAGTGCTTGAATTTTTCAAGTACTTGCTTAATATAATGAGATTGTGACAATGCCAGTCCTTGAGAAGTCTTATGGATCTTAATTCCCAGAATTAAATCAGCAACTCCCAAGTCTTTCATATCAAACTTGCTAGTTAGAATACACTTAGTAGCATTTATGTTGGCAATGTCATTACTCATTATGAGCATATCATCCACATATAAGCAAACAATGACTATGTGATTTGGAACATTTTTAATGTACACACATTTATCACATTCATTTATCTTAAATACATTTGACAACATTGTTTGGTCAAATTTCGCATGTCATTGTTTGGGTGCTTGTTTTAATCCGTAAAGGGACTTAACAAGTCTACAGACCTTCTTTTCTTTACTTGGAACCACAAACCCTTCAGGTTGTTCCATGTAGATTTCTTCCTCCAACTCTCCCTTTAAGAAGGCCATCTTAACATCCATTTGATGAACTTCAAGACCATAAACTACAGATAACTCTACTAACGTTCGTATGGACGTAATTCTTATAACTGGAGAGAGTATGTATCAAAATAGTCAAGACCTTCTCGTTGTCTATACCCTTTGACCATAAGTCTTGCCTTATATTTGTCAATAGTGCCATCATCTTTCATTTTCCTCTTAAAGATCCATTTAGAACCCAACGGTTTATTTCCAGGAGGAAGATCAACCAATTCCCATGTATGGTTGTTCAATATGGATTCTATTTCACTATTGACTGCCTCTTTCCATAACAATGATTCCGAAGAAGACATAGCTTCTTTAAATGTTTGAGGCTCATTTTCCAATAAGAAAGTCACAAAATCAGGTCCAAATGAAGTAGACATTCTTTGACGTTTACTACGTCTTGGATCCTCCTGGTTAAGTGTACTTTCTTTTGTTTCTTCCCGAGGTCGTTTAGATCCTTCACTAATCGACTCACATTCCTTTTTATACGAATATATATTTTCAAAGAACTCAGCATTATCTGATTCTATAACCGTATTATTATAAATGTCAGAATTTTCTGATTTATGAACCAGAAATCGATTTGCTTTACTATTAGTCACATATCCTATGAAAACACAATCAACGGTTTTTGGTCCTATTTTTACCCTTTTGGGTTTAGGAACTTGCACTTTTGCCAAACACCCCCACACTTCAAAATAATTCAAGTTGGCCTTCCTTCCTTTCCATTTTTCATATGGAATGGATTGTGTTTTCTATGGGGTACTCGATTTAGTATTCGGCTAGCAGTAAGAACGGCTTCCCCCACAAGTTCTGTGGCAAACCAGAACTTATCAATAATGCGTTCATCATCTCCTTTAATGAACGATTCTTTCTTTCTGCAATCCCATTGGATTGGGCGTGTAAGGGGTCGTTGTTTGATGAATAATTCCATATTCTAAACATATTTGTTCAAAAGGAGATTCATATTCACCACCCCTATCACTTCTTATCATTTTGAGTTTCTTGTTAAGTTGCGTTTCAACTTCATTTTTGTATTGCTTCAATGCGTCTATTGCTTCATCTTTACTATTAAGCAAGTAAGCATAGCAATATCGAGTACTATCGTCAATAAAAGTTATGAAATACTTCTTTCTACCACGAGATGGTATTGATTTCATATCACAAATATATGTGTGAATTAAGTCTAAAGGATTTGAATTCCTTTCAACCGACTTATAAGGATGTTTCACATACTTATATTCCACACATACTTGACATTTTGATTTGTCACATTCAAACTTAGGCAATACTTCCAAATTAATCATTTTCCGTAAGGTTTTATAATTGACATGACCCAAACGTATATGTCATAATTCATTTGACTCAAGTAAGTAAGACGAAGCTGAAATTTTATTATAATTTTCAACAACCATTACATTCAGCTTGAAAAGGCCCTCAGTGAGGTAACCTTTTCCTACAAACATTTTATTCTTACTTATTACAACCTTATCGGAAACAAAAACACATTTAAAACCATTCTTAACAAGAAGTCCAGTAGAGACTAAATTCTTCCTAATCTCGGGAACATGAAGGACGTTGTTCAAAGTCACCACTTTGCCGGAAGTCATTTTGAGAAATATCTTCCCACATCCTTCAATCTTGGCCTTTGAAGCATTTTCCATAGAAATCGTCTCATCGGGTCCAACAGGAGCATAAGTAGCAAAAGCTTCTCTAACAGCACAAACATGGCGAGTGGCTCCAGAATCAATCCACCACTCTTTAGGATTGCCCACCAAGTTGCATTCGGAAAGCATGGCACATAAGTCATCAACATCATCATGCTTTTCAACCATGTTTGCTTGACCCTTCTTCTTGTCTTTCTTCGGAGCACGACACTCCGTAGATTTGTGTCCGGTTTTTTCCACAGTTGTAGCAGTTTCCACTAAACCGCTTCTTGCTTGGGTTGTATTTCGGTCCAGAAGCCTTCTTCCTCTTTTAGTTCTCTTCAACAATATTTTCTCCCATTATTGTTGAGTTTCCACAGCCTCTCTTTTCAGCAGCTTTGTTATCCTCTTCGATTCTCAATCGAATAATGAGATCTTCAAGGGACATCTCCTTGCGTTTGTGTTTCAAGTAGTTTTTGAAGTCCTTCCACAAAGGAGGCAACTTCTCAATCATCGCTGCTACTTGAAATGCTTCATTGATGACAAGACCTTCAATGAAATTTCTGTTAGTAAAAATACTAAGATTACTACTTTCAACAGCAATATTAATTTGATTTATACCTTCAGCAAGGAGATCGTGAATAGTCACTTGCAATTCCTGGACTTGGGTAATAACAGACTTGCTATCTACCATTTTGTAGTCCAAAAACTTTGCAGCAACAAACTTTTTCAACCCGGCATCTTCGGTTTTGTATTTCTTTTCAAGCGCAGTCCACAGTTCCTTTGACGTTTCCACGCCACTGTAGACGTTATACAGAGTATCCTCCAGCCCGCTTAGAATATAATTCTTGCACAAAAAATCTAAATGCTTCCACGCCTCAATCACGAGAAAGCGTTCAGTTTCTGGAGTTTCATCGGACAGCACAGGAACATCTTCCTTGATGAACTTCTGGAGACTTAGAGTAGTCAAATAGAAGAACATCTTTTGCTGCCAGCGCTTGAAATCAATCCCGAAAAATTTTCTGGGTTTCTCCGCCGGTGCCAATGCTGCCGGTGTCGTTCGACTTGTTGAGGCATTGGTAGTCACCATTGGAACAACTTGGTTCTCATTCTCATTAGTCATTTCTATAAAAGAATGACACAAACGTTAAAATCACGTAGATTTTAATCTCCAATAGAGTATAAAACCACAAAGGTTTTACTCTCCAGAAACAGTAAGTACAAATACAGAAAATATATTAAATTCCTTAAGCTTGTTAGTTTACTGTATTTGTAAAATAATTCTGGAAATATAAATGAACATAAACAGAAATGAACGTAAACAGAAATGAACAACAAAATAACAGAAAACCTATTCGAGCCCACTGAATTCACAGTGTTTTCTTAAGGAATTTAATCCCCTCCTAGTACCCAAGGTTATGGATTATTTCCTCCCGGGATAGAACGAATTATACACTGGTGTAGTGGTACTTCAAACCCCAGTGTTTCAGCGAATACAAAGTTCTGTAGCAAATCACACTTACTTTTGTTTTATTTGATGCTAAAAGTATGCAGAGAAGGAGAGAAAACTCAGAAAATCTAGTGAAACTCTGAGCAGAATAGTGTTGTATTTATAACCAAAGTTGGGCTGAAATCTGAAGAGGTGCAACTCTTCAGAATGACTGTTTATGCAAAAACGGCCACATCATAAATGCCATTACATAAATGGCCATTTATCAACAATAAAGAGGGAAAATAAAGAGGGAAAATTGAAGAGGGTAGTTACTTTTCTGTTACCAAAACAGAAAAATGGATATGATTTAATATTAATATTCTGTTATTAAAACAAATATTTAATAACATTTCTGTTAATATTTAAGCCGAAGCCGAAGCCGAAGCCGAGCGACGACCACGACGGCGCGAGGCTTGCCTTCTTCTCAACTCTTTAAGAGCTAGAAGAAGAAACAATTGCTTATATACCCATAAAAAACCTCTTCCTCTTCCAATATGGGACACTGTTCATTTGCCAAGGGGGGAAACTTAAAATTTCACTTAAAAATTTCATTTCCCCTCCATTTCTCATTCACCCTCTTTTATGTATTTAATATAATAAATACAAAAACCCCAACAAAGACTTAAGTAGTCCTTAAGTATGCTATAGGAGTAGTTTTGTTCCTACCTAAGTCAATTCCGCTGAATAGATATATGTGTATATTTTGTTGTTAATTGGGAATTTAAAATAAATTATGGCTTTCTTTATCTTTGAGAAACAATTGCTTTCTTGAACGAGGACAATTCTTTTTCCTATTGCCGATGAGTTATAAAGTTCCTATGTACATTTTTTTGGTTGAATCCATGCCGCTTTCCAGAAAATTGTGAGTTATAGTTTTGGCATGATATTATCTACCTTAGCATGTGCTATGTGATTTAACTGGAGTAGATATTGAATTGGAATTGAACAGGTTGGTGGTCCTCTAAGTTTTATAAAGCAAATTCAGAGAATCCAGAGCAGGTAAGTGGTCCTCTAGCTGTTCACATTTAGATAGAGAGAATATTATGACTTTTCAAAGGAGGGGATATGCCTTCTTCATATTTTACTGTTGTTCTTGAGTTATCTTTGGGAGCAGTATTGCTTCAAAATTAATTGTAATCAGTTGTATAAATATTTGAATACATCTTTTTTATGTCTCTTTGGGGAGTAATGATCAGATGAAAGAGATATTTAGCATATAATGATCAGATGAAATTAGACAAAGCTAATAGCCTTGGATAAAATTGCCATGTCATTATGCAGATATTTGTAAAAATGTTTCCTCCTGGTGGTTTCAAAAATTTACCTTGATCAAACATTGATAAGAAGAATCTTTGATTACATAATTGGATGAGTTCTTTGGTTTTAGCTTCTATATTTGCAAGAACTTTTAATTGATTTTGATTGACTCTACTCATTAGTTAGCATGGCTTATTATAATTTTTCTTTTTACTGCTGAATGTTCCAGATAGCTTTAACATTTTTAGTGTCGGTCTCATATTCCTGCGAATGGTGAGTTTCAACTCAAAATCTACAAAGTCTTAACTCCTTTGAATATAGGTTTGAAGTATGACCAGAAATAGGAACTTCGACCATGCGATGGATATCAACCTAGCAACATGATGAAAAATAACTGGCAACTTAGCAATATTGAGCGGTGCTATTAAAGAAAAAAAAAAATGAATCTATCTGCGTAGAAATGGTGCTGTAATATTTTCGTTTTTCATTTGCCATTATATTCTATTGTTTCTTAAAATTGATGTTTGTGTATCAGTATTTTAACTCAAGCATTATACAAAAGTAGTACTCCATAAACTTTTATAAGGTGACTCATGAAGCATAGAAAACGAGAACTTTCTTAGTCATATATCTTATTTGTATGGATTGGATGTTTTGGATGCTTAGGGCTATGCAATCCAGCTACCAGGATAACGGAGCTTCACAATATCAGCATGTGCTCCAAATATCTAATACTGCCACCTTATGACAGATAGTGTCACGGGACGTACGCTCAGCTAGTCAATTGATGGTAGTTTTTAAGAATAAGTTATCGGATCTTGAAACTCTATGACAGTAGAGTTCCATCTCCTTTTAACTATTCTGGCATCTCCTTTCAACTATTCTAGTACTTTTTTGTATGATGTTGTATCTTAGATCTAACTGGCATATTGTTTACATATCTACTTGAGTATTTTTGCTGCAAGTAACTTCTTAAATATGTTGTCACAAGATAGGTAATATAAAGTGGTACACTTGAAGCATGTGGAGTTTTGAGTGCTCCCTTGGTTGTGTTGATTCAATTTTGTAACTATGGAGAATTTTATAACTGATGGTTATAATGGAAGAAAACATTATTGATCTTTATGATAGTTACTGCTTCTTCAGGACAGATTTGCAACGAATGATCTCTCTTTACAAAATGCCATATATATGTAGTGTCTTTAGTTTATCTTTGGGTTTGCTTTGAATTTGAATTTGGGAAACTTTATTGACTGCTTTGAGTGTTCTTTATTACTCAAATTGCACTTTTAAAGATTTACTAAATCATTTATTTTTATCTTTACAGGTGGATTGAATGAGCAAAGAATGAATAAAGCGGCGAAGGCATTACTTAGAGTTATGGGATTGTTCTTGAAATTATTCGTGTATTACAATATTTAGGAACCTTTTATGTTGTAGTATGCTTTTGAATTGTACAATGTTACAAATTTATTTTTATACAAAGAAATAAAAAACCGTTGCAATAGCCTCCATAGATGGTTTCAATAGTATCAACAAACCGTTGCAATAGCCTTATAAATTGATGCAGTAGTTCCTAATAACGATTTCAATCTGTAATTCAAACTGTTGCAACAGCATAATAAATTTGTTGCAATAGAATAACAAACCGTTGCAATAGCCTGATAAACCGTTTCATAAACTGATATTGCAACGGGTTATAACCGTTCTATTTGAATGAGCAGCCGTTGCAGTAGATAAGCCTATTGCAACTTTGTCGAACCGTTGCCACAGGTCTTCTATTGTAAAGGTTATGCAAACCGTTGCCGTAGACCTATTGGCACGGGATTTGATGTAACGTCTCTAAACCGTTGCAATTAGTCTATTGCAACGGTTTTCCTACCTTGCAACGCTTTTGTAACAACATAGACATATTTTCTAGTAGTGACCCATAGTTCTTACGCAAATGATGTGTTGAGTTTCCTAATAAGCTTTGTTGACCCTCATAATTTTATAACAAATGAATAATAAGTTCTACCCACTCGTAATAATTTAAAATTGAGAGTAACTCTAATAACGAGTCATAGTATTACATATTATTTGATTGGACATCGTAAGAGTGAATTTTATTTGAACATTTAAAAAAAAATAGATAGCCAAAATTTGCATCGTCATTTGCCATTGGTCTTCGTGTCTTGAGTTATATGTCTCTTAAATTTGAAAGTAATTCTGTAATTAATCTTGAAGGAACACTATTTTAAATTACAGTATTAAAATAGCAATTTTGTAATTATTTTACATGAAGGTTTGAAATTTTCTAAGTTTGAATTAGAGTACACTTTGGTGTTATCAGACTCTGAGTGGTGTTTCGGGACCTTGGATAAGTTAGTTTTATTGATTGAAACTGGTATGTGAAGTTTGGTAGTGATCCACAATGTCTAAGTGAGCTAAAGAAGTGTGAAAATTTTCATAAAGCACTATCTTTTAGTGATAATTAGCTATCTATAGTGATAACACAAAGGTTGGGAGATCCAAGAACTTGAAGAAAATAAGTTGATGAAATGCGAAAGTAGTAAAGAAATGCAAGCGGAGCAAGAAAAATAAACTAGATATGTCGAAATTCGAGGAAAGGTCCAAGAACCCCGAGATTATGTTAATCTAGATTTTGACAAGATCCTAATGACAACAAGTTGGTTATGAAACCAATTGCCTTCACTAGAGATAAGCTAATCAAGAACTAGATTCGGATCTTGACTTCTAGTTTGAATAACTTACGACAACAACTAGTAAAAGAAACTAGTCGCCTTCGAAGAATATCAAAAGAAACCAAGATATCACAAGAAAGAGAATTATCTTACTACCTTAAGCTATGAACTAGTTAGGGTTGCAAGATAAATCTTCAAAGTAAAGTTCACAAAGGTTCAAAAGAACTCACAATAATAATATTAATCTTCAATGATCTTCTACAATGGAAGACAAGCACCCCTTTATATAGTAGTAAAGAAGGAGCTAGTCAAGACTTCAATAAATGAGAATTATATTCCCTAGAAGCATAGAAGACTACCCACACTAAGACCAATGTAGTCAACATACATATAGGCCAATGCAAGTCAATATAGATTAAAACAACTATTAAATATATATTCTAGAAACTATTTTTGGGCTTATTTGGGCTGCTGAAAATTCCTCTCTTTTGGGGCATATTTGGGCCTCATTCCATTTCCTCTTGGACTTTAATTTTGGCCTCAAAATAGTTGTAAGACTTGGTCCAAAGATCCTCCTTGTGCTGGAATTCTTCTTCTATTATAAAACACTTTTTAATTGCCAATTGAAGCCCATTAAGCTTGTCTTGAAATTTCTTTGTTTGAGACCTTGTCATGGGCCTTCTTGGAGCTTCCAGAGCTTCATCCTTCTCCTTTAATGATGTTGAGCTGCCATGAATGCTATCATATAGATACCATTTGCTATATTACGGATTGTAGATACGTTTTCTGTTATTATAATATGTATTAGATGTATTTAAGCTACTGTATTCATGAATGAAGTAGCAAAAATAGGCGTGAATCAGGAAAGTCCAGTTAATCAGTTGTTGTATTCGAGTGTATTCGACTGTATGCATGGCGTGAAACATGGGATTACAGCTGGACATATTATTGTATTCGATTGAATTCACGGCGTGACACAGGGGATTACACTATTTTTAAACAGAAAGTGAATCAATTAACATAATAGACTCCTAATATAACTCAACAAACTCAATTATAACACACAAAATTTGTATTTCCAATTATAAAAAAGATTCTCAACCGAAAATACCCCAAAAGTACAGCAATCTTCAGAGAAATTATATAATATCTAAATACATAAATTATATTAATTAAAAAAAATATATGAATACATTCATGGCATATAGAGAGACAGTGAATACAATGAAATACATAGATTGAAATATATTAACATAAAATCAAGTTGCTCAGCCCCAAACTCCGCCGTCTTTGTTCAAGAACAAACCCTAATTTCCGGCGAAACCGCCGTCGAGCAAAACCCTGAATCTCACTGTTCCCACGCCGCCATTGATCGGAGGCTTCATCTCCTTTGGATTCAATTTCGGTTGCAGAAATTACTAACACTGCTTGGTCCATTCTCAATAATCCGATTCTCTACTTCTAAACCGACGATGAGTAAACCAGTAGATATCGCCGCAACTGCTAAGTCTCAGTAATTAAATGTTTATGTGCAATAGCATTGATGCATTTTTAGATCGAGATTTTGTGGTGGAGCTTCTTTCTGCTAATTCCATCGCTGTCGTCCATCTCTCTCGCATGGGCGAAAAATGGGTATTATGGGCATCTGAAGAATTTGGCTTCTTGACCCTAGTGATTCTGTTTCCACTTGAAGCAGTATAAGGCCTCAAAAAGAAGAACCCAGACCCAATGGAGCTTGTTCGTGGAAAATCTGCTAGATAAACATTAGCAAAATGGTAGGTGATGTGGGTGACGGGAATTTTGAGATTGAGCATCGTGTGGGGGAAGAGAATGGCATGTATCAAAGTAGAGTGAGAAAGAAAATAGTGTAACTGAATAGCGTATTTAGTGGCTTAGGGATAGGAGGTAACCAAAATTAGATATTTTNAATAAATTCAACCTAGACAGGCTCCAATATGAGTACCACACACCGACAAAAAATAAACAATAATGCATTTCACTTAAGAGCGTGAGTTAATAATCAATAAGTGGGTGTAAATTATAAAAAAAATTGGAGTTCAAATTCTAATAAAGACAAAAGAATTTATTAAAAAGTACAACAACAACAACAACCCAGTAAAATCTCACAAGTGGGGTCTGAAAAGGGTAGTGTGTACGCAGAACTTACTCCTACCCCGAGGGAGTGGACATGTTGTTTCCAGTAAACCCCCCAGCTCAAGAAGAGGAAAAGAGAGACAATATATCAGTACTATCAACAGAAATATTAGAAATAATGACAACAACATTAGAACCAGAAAATAGATGAAAATTAATAACAATAACCAGTAGATAAGGCACGACACGAAGAAAAATGGGATACACGTAAATCTCCTCTTGATTTCAATTGCTTGATTCTTCCTCTATTTTTATGTATTTATGCAGATATTTAAATTAATTACGTATGTTGTATATTTTGAGCAAATTGATTCCCGACTTTTGTATCTGCCTAGAGTGCATTTGTATTGTATTGATTAGCTTTGCTTTGTTTTTTAGTGTTCATAGGTTGGGTTAAAATAATGGTGCTCTGGAAGAACAAAACTTAATTCTTTTGTATAATCTATAATGAGATATGCTCAAGTGAGAATAAACAGGCTTTTGAAGGTGCCGGGAGTTTCAAGTGATGAAGGCAATAAAAATTGATGAATTACATTATTAGTTTAATCTCTTTTGCTGGTATTGTGACTATTGTTTCGAATTCATTTTGAACAAGAAAGATCTCTTCGGATAAAGTATGGTGAAGTTGAAGAAAAGAGGAATTGCCAACTCGAGAACAACTGTTTCACATGCATTGTTTCACCGAAATTTTTATACTTTTTGTTGTGATGTTGTGCTTTTACTCAGAGTGCCACTGAGGTTCCGGGAAATTTTTTCGTATTTCTTGTGAATTGTGTTTTCCTGCTTGTTAAGATTTTTTGACTGCTGCTTGAGTTTAATTAGGATTATTTTCTAGCATCTGCAAGTACTGCTCTCTTCAATTCATATTCTAGCTAATGTGTTTGCAGCGAACCATGTGTCGATAATGTCTAAGGTGTATGTGCACCTTCATGACTGTTTCTTAAGGTCATAATTTTTCTTCCAGGACAACATATCTTAAAGCTATTAGATAACTGCCGAGGCATATCAAATTGTGATCGGTACAGAGAATATGGAGTTTTTGCATGTTGAGAGTTATGGTTGTTGCTGAATTAAAGCCAAACAAGCAATACTACTGAAATGTGAAAGAGAAGGAAATAGTGGGTGGTAAAAGTAGAATTCCTTGAAGCTTTCATTAGTGCCATACCTATGTTTCAAATTCTTATTTTCTTAAGTTGTATTTGCAATGTTTTTGTTTCTCAAATAGGAGTAGTATAATATTTAGTTCAGTTTTGAAGGGGTCGAATGATGTTATTTCCTTCAGAAGATACTTGTATTACTTTCCTGCTGCAAAAGGCCATGTCCAATGTAAACCTTCAGATAGTAAGATTGAAAAGTTGTTTCATCTGGATGAAGCTAATTAAAGGTTCATATTTCAATTTTTTGCTTTTATTTTCAAGTGCTTAAAGGTGAGTTTTAACTTATATGCACTATCATTAAAAGTTTAAAAGACTATATTTCAGAAACAATTATACTTTACCGGTTGTAATGAGTTATTTACCGGTTATAATAATTTATGGTAGATCACAGAGAGATGATTGATTAATGTAAATTAATTCTTTATAAGAAATAGTAGACTTTTTTTGAAAATTTTCTTATTAACCGCGCAAAGCGCGGGTTAATTGACTAGTTGGCAAATAAAAGAGGATCATTTATGAGA